TCATGGCGCATGAGTTATCTATCTTCATCAACATTTCCATGGGCCGGTCAAAATTTCTAGTCACTATAACTTTTCGTTGTACAGGGCAATTCAGGCAACTGCCTTTCAACTCATCACAGTCTTTCGAAAGACAATTGTAAATTCTGGCAACTTCTCTCTTCTTCTGGCTCTTTACTATCTTTCGAAAGACTAATTGAAAGGCCTGCTGACGAGGAGATCTTAGCGCTTGTGTTTTGACAATCAGTTTTTTAAAAATTAAGTTAAACTAAAAAAATCATATTTATTTTCTTTCAAAAATAATAAAAACTAAAAATTAAAAGAAAATGAAATTAACAAATTAGCAAAAGAATAACAAACTAAGTTTTTAAAAAGAAGAAATAAATAAAATAAATTTCTAAAAAGTAAGTACAATTAAAATTTTTTTTTACAAAATAAAATCCCACAATTAAAGAAAATTTAACCAAAAAACTAAAAAAAAAATTTAAAAAATAAGAAAAAGAAAATAGGTTTCTCTGAATTAATGCAATTAAAAAAATATTGTTTTTAAAACCATAATAAGCAAACCATTAAAAAAATTTTAATTAAAAGGAAAAAAAATGCATAAAATAAGTTTATAAAATTAGTTTAAATTAAAAATTGTATAAACATGTATATCCTTTCTGAAACTAAATCTGAAAAATTAAATAAGTAAAAATGTAGTTTAAAAAAACTAAAAAAAAAAATCGCTGCGCCAGGACTCGAACCAGGGTCTCTCGATTATTACGCCTCTGCTGTGCCCACTCGGCCATTGCGATTATTGGAGTGACTTCAGCTAAAATATATACAAGTGCTCACAATAGCTTTTCACCACTAGTGGTGAATGAGAGAGCTTTTTTTCTAAGACTTTTGTACTAGAATAACAAAAGTCTTTCGAACTATCTTGCCACCTGTCGCTCATTTTTATTATACCCGAGCGCACTTGTGCACAAGGGTATATTAATTTTGTTCACATAACGGTTGTTTGTAACAGCCAAAACGAATCGAGATAGATATAGACAAATGTATACATAAATGATCAGGATGAAAAAAGAAATCGATTAAGCCATGTCTGTCTGTCCGTCCGTCTGTCCGTCTGTCCGTCTGTCCGTCTGTCCGTCTGTCCGTCTGTCCGTGTACACGATAACTCGAGCAAAAATTGAGATATCTCAACGAAATTTGGTATGTAGGTTTCCCTTAATCCAAGGTAGGTTGGTATTGAAAATGGGCGAAATCGGACTTTAACCACGCCCACTTCCCATATAACGGTAATTTCCAGAAATACGAAAACTGCGATGTTTTAGTAACTACTGAAGATAATTCACTCAAAATTGATATTTACAATAATTTTTAGACAAAAAAGAAGAATATTATAAATTTTTGGAAAATGGGCGTAGCCACGCCCACTTATGGTTACATGTGTATATCTTGGTAACCGCTGCACCAATTTCTTCCAAACTTGGCACAGTTGTTGGCCTTCGCATAACATACCAAATGGCCGAAAAGTTTTAAAATCGCTCAATAACCACGCCTACTTCCCATATAACGGTAATTTTCAGAAATACGAAAACTGCGATATTTTAGTAACTACTGGAGTTATTCACTCAAAATTGACATTTATAATAAGTTTTAGACGAAAAATAAGAATGTTAAAAATTTTTGGAAAATGGGCGTAGCCACGCCCACTTATGGTTATATGTGTATATCTTGGTAACCGCTGCACCAATTTCTTCCAAACTTGGCACAGTTGTTGGGCTTGGTACGGCATAAAAAACCGCCGAAACCTTTTAAAATCGGACAATAACCACGCCCACATCCCATATAACGGTATTTTAGAGAAATACAAAATCTTCGATAAATCATTAAATATTGAAGCTAATTTATTCAAAATTTATGCTTGCAACAATTCTTTACCAAGAAATACGTTTATGGTAAAATTTTGGAAAATGGGCGTGGCACCGCCCACTTATGATCTCATATATGTATATCGGTAACCGTTCTACCAATTTGTACCAAACTCGGTATGGTTATTGTACTTGCCACGTGTAAGCAAAACTTTGAAAATTATTGAAATCGGACTAAAATAACGGCCGATTCTCATATAACGGTAAATTTAAGAAATGCTTGAAACTTCAATATTTCGAAATTGAAGGACGCTAATTTACTCAAAATTGATACACCTCGGCTTACCATCTAGCGGAAGGTTTCGGAAGGGTGAAAAAACATATATTTAATACTTGCGCCGGGTATTTAATGTTCGGCCCCGCCCGAACTTAGACTTTCTTACTTGTTTATCTTACGAAAGACTTTTTATTATCTTAGCCAGAACTGCGCTGTTAATTTGATTTTTTAATAGTTTTGAATTTTATGTAATTTTGACGGAAATCTTCCTTTGTAAACTTTAATTTGAAGGCCACTTTCTTGTACTTTGCACTTCCGCATAAATGACTTAACATGGCTGCAAACCTGGCAAACACGAATTCAATACCCAGTATCTCTTTAGCATCGATACTCTGCTTTAATCGACCTGCTAATACTAGCCGCTCTGGCCTTTTCCTCGACCTTTGCAACCGGGAACATCTGAAGGGGTTGAGTGATTGATATCTCTGCGCATAGTATTGGAACATCCCCTTTTCTCACGCACTCGCCCATTTCTTCGTTCCTCAAGATACCATCTTGTTTGGAGATCCAGTATAGATTCTCTAGAGAATTGTCGTACTTCTTAACATTCACCACAGTATATTTAGTTAGTCATTAACGATCTCAGCGCATTGAACGCAGTAGAGCTGTAAAAATTGCCAATTACCAATTCGATTGCAACCAAAATTGGTTGCTTTTACAAAAATTTTGAATTTCAATTTACAATCATTTACAAGAAATTTATTTTCAATCATGATTGTAAGCACTTCTGATTGCACCTTAGTTTGCAAGCAATTTTATGGAAATAATTGATTCAATGAAAATTCTTAATTGATATTATGTTCCATTTTTGGTAATTAAAGCAATTTATTCACGATTTGTTGCATTTGTAGCAAAATAATACAAATCAAAAGTGCTTACAATCAAAATGATTGCAATCTAAATCTTGTAAATATACGATTGTAATTTGTAATTTTTACAAACAGAATAAAAGCAATCACTTTCTAATGCAGTCGAATTTTGTTGCAATTTTTATAGCTCTGGAGCGCCGCATGATTATTTGTGAAATAGGAGAAGTAGCAAGCCTTATCATGCTTAACTGAACCGGGTAATTTTGAGTCTGAAAATCACTGCAGTAATCTGGAGGTCTTTAGGCTTCCCTCCGTGACATACGATTGAAAATGCGTTTCACAACTGTTGTATACATCGAAAGTATAATCTATAGTTGCTGATGCCAATCTTTACCAATCCTATCACAGTAGTAAGACGATTTGGGATGTTTTCTTCTTTGTTCTTTGGCATACCATAGATTTGACTTCTTGGCTAGATAACTGATTACTGACATGAATTTGCCTTTAACGAGAGGAACCAGATCATCTAAAACACAGAAACCCATTCAGTACCCACCCTGAGAATTTTTCATTTAGTCATTCTTCTTACTTCTTCTATTCCCAAAAAATCGTTGGTGTTTTACCTATTCAATATATAAATATGTAATATGATCTGCAGAAAAACAAAGTTGCTGGTTTTATATAATTTTTATTAAAAAATAAATACGAAATTTATCGGTTTAATTTACACAGAGCAGATATTTTAACGTATAATTTTTAGGCTACACACGTGCATAAGGGTAATTCTTTAACTTTAAGTTTTTCTGAGCTATCGCTACACACCTGAAAATTACAAAAATGTTGGCTTTTAAAATTGAAGTTTCTCCGCTGTTCTGCACCTTTTAGTTAAATCGCTTACAATCAGGCATACTTCTGCATTTATCAGAGTGCGTAATACTTACATTCAAACACATATTTATAGTAAATGTTGGCTCGTACATTTATATAAACAGCGAACGCGTCTTTTGCCGCAACCGCACGCATGGCTGCTACCAACAAACATCAAAGCCTGGCTGTTGACTGGCTGCCAATAGCAACAGGAACCACCCCAGTCTGCAATTAAGGCAACAAGCATAACGGTATACAATGTATGCCATAGGAATTTCTTTATTAAAATTTTCGCTTGTAAGTATGTATACATACATACATACATAGATATGCGCTATGTGATGTGTAATGAATGCTTGGCTGTATAGTGCGTGTAGCAATATACATACATACTGGGAAATCGACGCTTTCCACATGCCACCATAGACTACCAAACTTTCTAGGAAACTGCTCATCGGTTCATGCAGCAAATTCTGTTTTTTTTTTTGTTTGTTGTTGCTGCAGCTCTTGCTGCTCTTGCTTGTTTTCAACACAATTAAACCTTGTCTGCTTGGTTATTCTGGTTATTCATTATGCTGTATTCTCTTCTTTGTTTTCTCTTTTCTCAACTCCTGCTGCCACTCGGAATAATATGGACATACAATTTTCGGACAACAACATCAATGCCACCAACAACTCAACTCAACTCATCTCATCGTGGTACACTCATCACTGCTTGAAACCGAAATGTCTATGTGCGTGTGTGTGTGTGTGTGTGGAAAAACTTCATCATCATCATAACTGCGAAACATTGAAAAATGCCACACAAACAAAAACAAAAATGGCAAAAAATAAATAAAACCAAATGACCAACCGACCGATTACTTTGAACCCACTAACCTCATTCAAACTTTGTCGAAACCAACCGACCAACTAACCTCGCCAACAACCACCAACCAAACCAACAACAAAAACAACTACGCAATCATTCAACTCAAACTTTCAATGAACCAATTTTTGTACATATTCGCATTCGTATTTCATATCAATTTATTCGATTTATTTTTTGGTCTAATATCCATTCGCACAGAGATCCGATTAATTTGGCTGTGCTGTCGCTGAAAGAAAATGGTGAATTGATCAAATTGCGCAATAAATGGTGGTATGACAAAACGGAATGCAACCTCAACAAGGACAATCAGGAGACATCACGCAGTGAATTGTCGTTGAGTAATGTGGCTGGTATATTTTATATATTGATCGGTGGCCTCTTAGTGGCCGTCTTTGTGGCCATCATCGAGTTCTGCTTTCGCAGCAAAACATCAACGCAAAAGGCGAATGGCTCCATGTTGAGTTCGGCGTCCGGTGGGGGCTCACATCAGAGGAATTCCCTAACAGATGCCATGCATTCCAAAGCGAAATTGACTATTCAAGCGAGCAGAGAATATGATAACGGACGTGTTGGGGTAAGTTAACAATGTGTTTGATGGTCATTAGAAATGGCACATAAGTATTATTGAATATATACATCTGTACATAAATAGAGTACTAGGGTGCCGCCGGAATTATAAAAAATGTATTATATCTAAAAGAGATTTAAAAGTTTAATCTTAAAAGGTCTGCTTGAAAATGTTTGAACACTTTATCAACAGAATCAAAATAATGCGAGTTTTGGAGGTACCTTCAAATTGGTCCAGCTCACTTGATACTTTACATTTCTCTGAAATTAATATGGCAAAGGTCTTAAAACATAATAAATTCTGTAGATCGAAAACCCGTACCAAATTTTTTTTAATGGAGAGTGATGCACCCTAATGAACCCATTATTTGATGTGGAGCGTATTTGTGCTGATGTGGCGTAAAATAATCGTTTGCAATTCGCACACGTAATTCTTTTTTACTATGCTGGGGCGAATTCGAGTAGATGAGGGTGTTCCTTCAGGACATTTGATCTAAAATTTTAATTAGGCAAAAAAACTAAAAGATTAACTTTCACAGCTGAAAAGTAGGTTTCGTTTTAATCAAATTTAGCTTTATTAGCAAATTCCTTTGGTAGACATTTATTATTGATGTTTGCGTTATGAATATGAGGCAAATTGGTCTACTAAATCCGGTTCTGCAGGTTTTTTTGTTTTTGTTCAGTGCTTAACGGCTGCTGCATTTTATGCTAGAAATTTCTTCAGGGAAAGTGTCTTTATTACACTGTACAGCACACAAAATAGCCAGATTCTATCAATGTATTCTGGTTAGAAATTTTAATCCCGGGATCCCGGCCTTTTTTAGGTCCCGAAAATCCCGTAATTCTTGGCAAATAATCCCGGGATTTTCGAGATTTGTAATTTGAAATGATGGCAATAATTTTTTACCAGTATTGGCTACATTTCTTTTTTTATTTAATAACATATATTTTGTTATAAATTTCTAGCTCCCTTTGCATATAAATAGTAAAATTTACACCCAAAAATTATTATATTCGCGAAACCCTGGGCCAAATATAGTAAACCAGAGTTTTGGTTTTTTCACTCTGACGTCAGTAATTAAAAATTATTTGAAAAATTCAGTGAAATGTGCTTAGAGAAGAAATAAGGGTATAAATATAAATAGGAAATTTTGTAGAATTTAAACAGATTAAATTCTTTGGTGCATAAGTTTTGGTTTTGAAATTTCGCAATATTTGTTTTTGGAAAAATTATATGTTAAGGACTTATATAAACTCCAGAACATCCTCGAATTTCGTCCTTCTAACTTTATCAGCTCAAAATTTATTTATTTTTTTTAATTTTTGCAATTCTAAAGAAATTTTCTCTTTCATTTGATACCCATATTTTTATTCTACATTGCATTCAATTTTTTAAATAACTTTTGGAATTTATCATATCTTTCAAATTACAAAGCCCTTTAAAATAAATCCTGGCGTCAGAGAGAAAAAATATAAATGTAATTTTAAACAAAGATAAACTCCTTCCCCTCCACCTATTTTCTACCACGTAGTCCATGGCCTTGAGGATTGCAAATACCTCAGCCTGGAAGACCAAAGCATACTCCCTAAAATAGAAGTAAAACATATTCCCATTAACTGCGATCAAGAGACCTCGGATCCTGACCCAGAGTCAGTTTTGGAGACATCAGTGAAGATTCGACAACGTGTAAGTCCGGGCTCAGCGCAGGTACTAAACAAGCGCTCAGTCTCGGGGAACTCAACATTAACTGGAAAGGTAATGATGGCGCACTTCCAGTGGCTTTGAAAAGACACAAGTAATCAGATCTCTCACAGGCACATAAGCTAAAATTGCGTTGCAAAATTTACGATCGGCTTGGGTAAGGTTTAACCACTAAACTAAGACTAGTATGTCATCAAAGGAAAAAAACTTAAATTGAGTAAAAGGGGACTAGGATTTGAGGAACTAAAATTCCATTTTTACAAACTTCATTGGCACACTCGAAATTCATTATAAAATTGTTATATACATGAAGAATGTAATATATATGTATGTGCATTACTGTGCAAAAATCTTCCCGCCAATTTTTAATTACTCTTAAACAATTTTACTTTTAAGTTAAGGCGTGCGAGCAAACGTGCGAATAGGTTACATACGCAACTACGGGTACATGATCACCAGTGGTTATTTTTACTTTTTTTAGTATGTATTTTTTAAGTTTTCATTTAAATACAATTTTGCGTTGAAATCTTGTTCTTTATACAAAACTTAAAACAATTCATTTTTTAAGATAAGTGTGCCACCAATTTCGACCAAAAAAACGTATACTGAGAATACACTGAAAAACTCTTAGCCGGAAGTATATTTACTAATGATCATATCATTTCTTCTCTTATATGCAGCAAGATTATATTTAGCACAGTCGTGTTACTCCCTCACTATTGGCTGATGTGGTTTGAAACTTTCCAATTACCCAGTTGAGTTCGCAGACATTCAAACCAATAGTTCGTAGACAAGTGAGCACAATTACATACATACATTGGTACACTTCTACAGGCAAATCTCATTAATGTAGCAGTTGAAGCGGTTATATTGTAATATTAACGCTGCAACAGTATCTCTGCATTTAAGCTATGACTGGCAGTCGAACATGAATAGGTGAAGTCAGAGATACATACATACATATAATGCAACAAATCTGATATTCAGTACACTTACATAATATATGATTGCCATTTGGAGACCTTCGCTATCACGCTGATAAGACAGCAACAACAAGCAATGCAAAATCTATCTATGTACATATATACTGTGCACATACTTTGTAGCAATGAATGCATTAACGTTATTTGTGCGTTCAACTGGCGAGCTTAATAAGCGCAATCATACACATGCACACATGCGCAGACACAAAGGTACAAAGCATTTGGCATTTAATCAGTCGCCATGGGGGAGAGCCAAATACGAAACTCTCTGTTCATTGATGCCTATAGCCGGCCTACAGCGGCACGGTGTTTACTCGTGCCTGCTCAACTGCCTGCTGTGGCTTGCCGACCGTCTAATGTCTAAGCTTGCATACGTGTATATATGTATGTATGCGATATGGCTGTTAGGCAGATGAGCAACTGACAAATATAAACAAGCAAATCAACAACCAAGTGGAGGAGTGAGCTGGCCTATGCATTAGGCATTTAGGTGCACTCACACACACACAAGCACAAGCTTACGTCAAACTCAAAAGTGGGTATGGTGGTGGTGGTAGCATGGCAATGGCAGCTTGGATAGTGCGATGGTAAAAGGAGCAAAGCCTAAGCCAGCCACCACAGTCAGTCCAACACATAACCATCCATGTCCTTATATTGGGTCATAATCTTTGGGGAAAATTTTTTGGTAAATTTTGAAGAAAACAAATTCTTTAATAAAATCGATGCCATTTTGGGCAATTATTATTATGTATGAGCTTTTTGCCATTTTTCATGTAGCTTCATAATTCCATCGTTGTAGTACTTTTTCAGTAAAAATTCGGAATCTGTTCAAGGCTTTTGAGGACAATTTTGAGACTACTTCAGCTAATTTTCGGGACTAGGTCGGTATAATTTGGGGACAATTCAAGGAATATTTCAGGGGCAGTTTTAAGATCATTTTGGTTCGAAACTATTCATGAAAAGTCGTTTTAAACGCACTTTAATCTGATGCAATTGGATTAATGCTACCAGATGTATGAGCTTCAACACAACATAGTGACGAAAATTCGCAGATCCTATTCACATGACCCAATATATTTGTGTAAGTCTGTTGCAAATTTACGCCTAAATGCTTCAGTGCAGCCTAGCCGCATATGTGTGTGTGTGTGTGTGTTTGCACTTGTAACCCGGGTGCGGCTGTTTGCTTTCGTACTTCGCATAGCTGAATAATCATCGCGTTCATTAAAACAAGCCTTACTTAGTGGCGCACACAAACAGCGAACACGTCTGCCACTGCAATGGCTACACACAGCATTCAACTAATGACTGACACGGGCATATCTGTCGCTTGGTGACCACGTTGCTCTACTATAGTATACATATGTATGGATTTGGTATATGGTTGAACGGCATCAGCAGTGGTCAGCGAATGTTGCTAAGACAAGTAAGCAACAGCGAGCGTCAAAATTCCACACACAGACACACGCATTTAGGGTACAAGGACAGCGTAGGTGGGCAAACATATATAAGTTTAAGTACTTATGTACCTATCGCTTAGAAAGCAAACTGTTTTCTGTTACTGAAATTAATATGAATTTGCACCATTCAGTAAACAAGCAGAGCAGATTGTAGTCCTAGTGCCAACATTACTTACTAATAAGTTGACTAGCAGTCACCGATGGCTGCTGACATGGCTGTATATACATATGTATAGTACCTATGTATATACGTACTAGGTTTGTATGAGCTTACTTATACATACATACATATGTATGCAAGTGTGTGCCTATCAGTTCTGTGTAGTGGTTACTCATCCTATGCCGTTTACACTTTACCACATTTGCCTTATATTGCACACATGTTTAGTTACACACTCATACACACATGCAAATATTGTTGGTAATGCAACAGTGTGCATACAAATTGTACATAGTACTTACATCATTCATAGCGAACACTTTTCGTTGAATGTTTGTGTTCTAATTACATGTTAGAGCAGGTATTTGGTAATAATATATGTATTTAGTGGCTTGTTTTAATACATACATACATATATTTTATACAAGTAACAGCTCTCGGTGGCTGTAGTTGGTGCTGATTACTTCCTGATTGCTCATACGCCATGTAGAACGTAGACGAATTGCACTAAAATTGAGAAGTAGGTGAATTTGATTTGAATGCGCGTTTAGGGAAATTCATTGAAAGTGAAATTTAAAACGGATTTCTTAGAGTAAGCAATTTATAAATAGAAATGAAAGCATCGAAACTTATTACCTTTCGAAAGCTCTGTATTAACTGAGCAAATTTGCATTTTTCGATTGTAAAAAGTTAAATTCAATGCAAAGGTTTATGATAGTACTCGCTTCCGTATTTTGTATACGCAAAGTCTAACAACGATATTTCAAGACAAAAAAATATCAAAATTATTTTCCTAGGACAGTCTAGAATTTCAAATCAAACTGCTGACAGACGTTTTACACGAACTATAAGGTACGATTTCCGCTAAATATAAAAATGAAATCAAAATATAAGAAGGTGGATTAGGTTTTTAGATTTAGCTAAACTTCGGTTTTTTGAGATCTGAGAAAAGTGCACTCACTCCCAAAAATATTACGAAAAGTTCTGACGGAGTTACAAAAACTCCCAAAAGGTCCCAAAAATAGCACACAAATAATTCCAAATTATCCCTATAAGACCACAAAAGGGCCCTGGAAAGAAGGCAACTGCAAAGTATTGAAAAAAGCCGGGAAAAATTCGATAAGTTTTGAAAAAAATCAACGTTAGGATATACAAGTACTTTGAACCTGAAATTATCGGGAAACCTCAAGAAAAAATTCCGAATAGTACCGAAAATATGGAAAAAAAATCCAAACAGGTTCTTACAACCCCTCAATAAAAAATATCGATAGATAAACTAGTCCCGAAAATGGCCGGAGAAAACCTCAGAAGGCGAAAAAAATTCGCTCGTAATATATATGTATGATGAATTTCGAAAAAAAAAATCGGTTCAAAAAAGACCCGAGGAAATACGTATATATAAGTACTTTGAACTAAAATTTTCCGCAAAAAAAAATCGTTAAATCCCGAAAAAATAACCGATATACTCTGAAAGGTCGCCAAAATTTTACAAAAATATCTGAAGACAGAAAATTCACAAAATGGTCCAAAACCACCGAATAACAAAGCCATAAGAATCTTCAGAAGTCCCGAAAAATCCCCACAAAATTTAGGAAATTCTCAAAAAAAAATAAAAAAACAACTACATAGTTTTCACTTTAAATAAATGAGTGTCCAAGCTTGATGCTAGTTCTGACATATTAGCACCTAGAAGAAAAGTTTGGCCAACCACATTTCATGAAGAAACTGAAATCTGTGGACAGTTATGAATTCGCTAAAACTTGTATGTGGTCAGAATAAATATTCCGCAAGGTCATTTGGTATTAGGAGCCTAAATCATCTTCAAGAAGTATTTTCAAGAAGTTTGCAGAGCATGAGAGGTTTGATGCCAACGAAGTGGCAGGCACTAGTGCAAACTACAGTGCCTTAGGGGTCCAGTTTAGTCAAAATTCTTTGAATAGTTTGCCTAGAGGATGTACCAGAGTGCCTCTAAGAAAGTAAGCTGATCCTTAGCCACCTGTCCAATGTCAAAATCCCGTGGGATAAAGCAAACCGAAGGTTTTCATAAATCCTTATCAAGAAGGTGACTTACTAGTTCTAGGCGAAATGACCTAGAAATTCGGCATTAAGGCATTATCTTTGGAAGTTGGAAGAGTTGAGTCTGAATTAAATATAAATCTTGTAAAGTCTTGTCATAAATCTAAAACATGGCACCCATACAGCAAAAATGTTCAATGGATGCCACTATCCAATTCCTATATAGAATTGTTTGCTGATTCTGAAAATCTAGTTAATTTTTTATTCTATGGATAAGTTTTCGAGATATTTTCAATTTACCGTTATTCAGCTTAAAACAAAAATTAATTCCACTTAATCACGTATATCTTACGAACCAATTTAACAATCTTAACATGAAATGCGGAAAATGAAAGCTAATAAAATTTTCCATAAAACATATATACATAACTTATACATAACTTTCCGATAGGACTTATACATAACTTTCCGATAAGACTTATATGGAACTTCTAACAAATAAATTAATTATTCGAGTCATCAAACTTTGACGTAAGAAAAATTAAAAAAAAAAACAATTTTTTGCATTTGTGCTAAGTCCTGTTCTGTTAAAAAAAAAAAAAACAAGTTACTAATGAAGAAAATCGATGGATAAATAAAGAAATAATGAATAACCCTTGGAAATACGCAAAGATTTGTTGTATAAAAAACAAGCAGGAAAGAAAGTCACTCATACGCCACGTAGACCTGAGTAACACGCTTTTCTGCTCATACCTCCTACAAAAAGTCTTTCACCATTTTCATTTGACCACTCATTACTTCTTTATTTACGCATCAATTTCCTTTATTAGTAACTTAATTTTCTTTTTTTTGTAACAGAACAGGCTTTAGTACATATGCAAAAATTTGGCAAAGACCTCGTTATTTTTTTTCCTTTAATAAAAAAGCTAGAACGATTAATTAATTTTTCAGAATTATTTTGAACTGCATTAAATTTTTATACATCCTTTTATTAATTCCGCTTTTTTTCTTTTTTTAGTTAATTTTTTTTTTTATTTTATTATGTTAAAAAGAAAATAATATATATATTTTTTCATTCAATTTTAAGGAGTTTTTAACTTAATTTTTAGATTTTATTGTTTTAAAATGAAGCAATTTTTTATATTATTTCGAGCCGTTTTCTTAAGCAGGCTTTAAAATTTACCTGACGTTCTAACATATTTTTTCAGAATAAAATTTGTGTTTAAGGGCAGATAAATTTTAAAACCTACTTGAGAATATGGCCCTTAATGTTTAGAAAATTATTTTAATTAATTTTTCTTTTGGTTTATAATTTACCAGATCTTTCAGTTAGTCTTTCGAAAGACAGATAAGAATTTTCAAGATAGTTGCCAGTATTACCAATTATCTTATGAAAGACTTTTGACAGACGACTGGTGTCAATTGAAAGACAGTTGTCAGAGTTTCCCTGCTTAAGCTTAAATTATCATATTCTTAAATGGCCACTACGTATGTACTTCTTTAAATATTATTACAAAAACTTGTTAACAACCCCGTATTAACGCTCAAACAGTACCTCAATTGTGCCTCTTTGCAGTATTATCCAGCCGGACAATTGAGTGCCGCCACCGAGGCCGAAACAATGCACATGAATGCGCACAGTCAAGTTTGACATGAGCATGCGCAGGAATCGCGACTTTGACGTACACCCTGCGCACCAACAATACGCCGCATAATGGCCAACAGCCGGCAAGAAACGGAGAAAATACTGAGCAATCATGATCAAAATGCCACAACAATGCCGGGCAGCCAGAATAGTACACTGATGCGAAATCCCGATGTAAATCATCCCTATGCCAAATAAATATAAAAACATATACATAAATTACATACACACATATGTATTTAGTATATACATATACACTTAATAATATGACTACGTAAAAACATTAGCATTAGCTACATATAAAAACGACGAGAATTACATTGGAGTAGAGAGAGGTAAGCGTGAAAGTGAGTAAAATAACAGCAACAACATCTATGTAGATATACATATATGTGTATGTATGTAATTAAGAAACATAGTGTGTATGTAGGTATGTGTATTACAATAAGAGTGAAACTTAAATATATGTATGTCTTAACTAACATAAGTCAAAGAATAAATACCTACGTACATACATACATAAACGTATTAGGTCTAGCATAAGTCTTCTAGTGAGTATGCTTAGCCAACAGAATACACTCATTCATAAAGAAAGGAAGAATTTTATATATACATACTTACAAAAACACGCACGCAGAAATTGACTTTCATTTAGCCGAGCGATCTGGCTTTTGCAAACAGCGGTATGAGCATACTTTTGTTGTTTCAAAGCGATTGTTAGTTCTCTTTTTCATGAATTAAGTTTTAATATACTTTAGCGACAAAATTTTTTGGCTACCGAACCTACACTTACACTACTCAAGAAATTCTGGAAATCATCACAGGGATACCACTTCTTGTCATACTCATTCACAAAGAGGCATGTTGAAGGTTCTGCAAGTCTTCGGGATCACTTGGTGGTTTTTATAAACTCATAGTTTCATAACTTTTGCGAGAATAAAGAGTTCCCAGAATTGTAAGGATACGCCCGTTTCATTGCATATGTTCGTCGGCATTAAAATTCCTCTCTATGTCGCGATGGCATGGAATCCATATTATACGTTAGAGGACGATTGTCTTTTAAGGGATTTCACATCTACCTAGCTACGAGTGAAAACGGAAATGTTATCTCCCTTAATAGCATCGCACTTTACCATGTCAATTGCCAGGAAAGGAACTTCAGTGACCAGAAAGACTCTCAGATGCTTAGAATATACACCAACAGCACTACTTCCATCGACCTTTTAGCCATCCATGTATGCCTAAATGAACTCACATTTTCTACATACATCTTCTCGTTTTCTCTCTTCACTTGAGAGCAGCGCTGCGATAGCGCAGTCAAAATTGTTCGATGACCACTTACTTAGCGGGTTCAGTCGTATAGCCGCTTTGTGAGCTGTCTATGGACGTATACCACCGCTGACGAAATTGGACTTGCCCAAAGGCAGTCCGGATCTCCTTGTAGGGTAGGGTCCAGTACTTTTACGGGGTTCTCGGAAGCTGGCTGATTGTGGCAAACTTGTAGAGGAAAAAGGAGAGAAGTTTTTTCTAGTGTGGTGAACTGGTACCATTTTTGTTCAATCCTCAGAAGGGAAAGCTTTGTTGTTGAGGGACCACACGACCATATCTGGGAGTAATCTCACACACACGCCGCGTTCGCGCATGGATATAAAGAGCCAGTTATCTACGTATTTTTTTTTTGCTTATGCTTTTTGCAGGTAACATACGTTTTGAGAAAGCACGCAAATACCATCACTTCAACTTTTAGAGAGATTGAGCTCTCTCTCTCTGCTGCCACATTTTCTATTCGGAAAGCTCGACCGACTTTACAAGGATGGTCTTAGGCTCAACAAATTTCGATACATAAATGGGGCGTAGCACCTCCCAAGCAAACCGAATTTTTCTTACATAGCGTACTGAACTTGGATTGGAGATATGTTAAATCAATCCCATACTCAAGTAGCAAAGTGGGGCTCTTCGAAAGGGGGGCGTGGCGCCTAAACATACTTCTATCTATCTTTGTATGTATATTAGGGTTGTCCTTAAAATAAAATGAGCTATTTTTTTCAGCATCACGACCTTAATACGTAATATCAGGGTCGCATGTACCACATACAAATTTTGGTCCCGATTGGAGTCGGTTAAGACGTTTTCATATATATCAAAATTTATATGTGATATTTTCGACTATAGAAGCATCGACCTAGGGGTTGAGGCTTAAGAAGTCTGATGTAAAAATTTGCTTCCTACATTTAACGACCGCCCTAATGCATTTATAATTCTTCTGTACCTGTCTTCGGCGGTGAACTCCTCATAAAATTCTACGAAAAAAAATTCCCGCCAAGTTGTTGTGGAGTCGAGTTATTACTACAATTCGTATTTACGACCCGATTTGGCTCATATTTGAGATATGCATTGGTAAAGGTAACGGCAATACTCTTGCAAAAAAGAGCCGTCAGTTAGCGCTGGAGTCCAGCTATTACCAAAAATCCTCAAACGAGAAAAGGTGCCATGAATGTCCGATTACATCGACATGCTGGACCATTGAGTATGTTGAATGCCTATGTGTTCCGATTGGCCCAATGGATGAGATCTACCAATATGCTAAGCGTTAAAACTTCATTCGGAAACAACAGGATTGAGTTGTTGCGTGGTCAATCTCAAATGGTTACCGTTCAATCAAGCATCACAACTACTGCGCTCCTTGATAAGACAATTAAGGTATTTCATCTGAAATAAGTCTATGTATATTATATGTATGTAAACCGACGATACTCCTCCAAATTGAAATTGCCTCCAGCAGCACTATACAGTTTCAAGGATAGGCACACCTTCGAAACGAATCATTGTTGCCGCCAAGCAGTGATGAGAAAAAAGTTTGTTTCGAAAATTTTTTATTTTTTTTTTCAGGGACGAAATTTACGGAGTGTTATAGTCTTCCCCTAAAAATTTAAACTAAATACTTATTTAAATTTCTAACAATTTTCTACTTTATCCAACCGAAAAAGCGATTCATTCAAAAAAAAATCATATTTTCTGTGCAAAAATTTTAAAAAATTTTGTGCTTGGAAATCAAACTTTCAATCACATTTATTAAACGTAATAGCGACAGCAACTGCGCTGCTCTATTTTCCATTAAATTTCACTTGGAACGCTACACAATTCGTTGACAAGACAACCATCACTTTACAAGCACTGAAAATAAATAGATTTTGAATTAGATTTGATATGATATTTTTAATTAAGCAAAAGCATTTTTGTACTACACACACATACAAGTACATGTATGGCCAGAAAATTGAATGCTATTGCCAAGACTACAAAAGTATGCAATAGATACAATCGCAAAATTATTTTACTAACAGCTCACACAGTTTAAAAACGAATGATGAAACTCGAAAACACAATAAAATATTGACATACATGCATACATACATATTAACATACATACATACCTGCAAATGTATGTAAGCACATACTACATGCGCACACATTGTAGGCGATTACATTTAAGGCTTAGTTAGTAATGGTAGATATAATCTATTAAATCAAGAATGAACTTAGAAATAAACAAAATAAAATTGAGCTAAATTAATTTAAAAAAAAACTACAAACTGAAAAGAATTAAAACCTAAATCATAAAATCGTATGTAATAATTCAATTTTACGTAAAGCTGCCAGCTTGGGAGCGTTGAGATAGCAACTAAAAGCGGAAATAAGGAAGCTGAAGGGCAACTACAAAAAAGGCGAAAACAAAAACATTATATACATAAAAACAATAAGGTGTATGCAAAATACAAACACATAAACACCCGTGAATATGTATGCATGTTTGTAAGTGTGTGTGTATTACGAAATAAAACTTGCATACGCACGTGAGTAAAAAGAAAACTGCATATGGGGCGTTCCAAACCAAAACGGACGGGGTTCACACTTCATGTGTTTGATTTGTTTCAAATTTTTCGGGTTGATGCATAAACATAAATAATAAATAAATTAGAAATTTGAGCTTGATAAATATAAATTTTTTTTTGGTAAAAAAAAATAGTTTTGAAAATTAGTAATCTCAAAAAATACTTACAAAAACACAATAGTAGCTCTGAGTATTGCACAATATTTAAGTATAGTATTATTTTGAGCACTCCACACTAAGTTGAGTTATGAATTTTTTTACACCAAAGTTGAGTAAATTTAGTACATTACAAATTAAAAAAATTTTAAATTTTTACTTTTTTAATTTTTTTAATATGCAGCCCATTAAATTTTAGTATAACGAAGTGAAAGTTTCAAGCTACTGCAAAATTGCGGTGATTTTTAATATTTTTTATGCTGACGGCTTTTTGCACTTTTTTCTTATGGAAGAAAATGCGCAAAACCGTTTGCAAAGAAAATTAAAAAAAGGCCGGCTTTGCACTCGCTTAAGACTTGCACTTTATAATACTAAAATTTAATGGGCTACAAGACTGCGTACTCAAAAAATTCTGAAAATTCTAAAAAAAAAATAAAAAAATATTAAATTTGTAATGTACATACATACTCATTTTATTCAACTTCGGTGTAAAAAAAATTCCTAACTCAAATTATAATTTTTGTAGAGTGAATCCCATAATACTACACTTAAAAATTGCGCAATACTCAGAGCTACCGTTGTGATTTTTTTAATCTTTTTTTTTTTGAGATGGCATATTTTCAAAAACTATTTTTTTTACCAATAAATTTGTATGTGTAAATTTTGTCAAGAAAAAAAATTTTAAAAGTATTAATTTTCATAGAGAATTTTTATATGTGTATGTGTGATTTTTTTTCAAATTTTTTCCTCGCCCCATTTCATATTTATTTATTATTTATATTTATGCATCAACCCTAAAAGTTTGAAACACAAACACATGAAGTGTGAAGCCCGTCCATTTTGGTATGGAACGCCCCATATATGTACATACATATGTATGTTGGTAGCCCAGTGTGTGCGCCTTACACTAGGCAACATTTAACGTAAATTCTGAATGCATAGACTTATAGGCGCGTGCCTGTGTGTGTGTGTGTGTGTGACATTGAGTGCATTTATTAAAAATCCTTGCAGACATTGCATAAATTTGCTGGATATTTGATTATATATAACAAATGACAGAAATAAATGGTTATTGTTATGGCTCACGTGCACACATACACACATGCGCATGTGCATGAATGCATATACGCATCGATGAGTCTAGATTTCGCATAACTACACACGCGCATACATTTATAAATAAACAAGTTAACTCAACAATGGTAATGCATTTCGAAATAATACAAAAAAAGCATACATATTTACATGCATACATGCATACATACAAACATACATACATACATACATACATACATACACAATCAAACCAATAAACATTTAGGTTAAATGAAAACTGCAATTAATTGCATTGAAATGACTGATCATTAAAAATTTTTAATTATTATATGCAAAAATTGTCGTAGCGTAAGTATCTATTAACAAATTAATGAGTGCAAAATTCTTGCAAATGCGAAAA